ATTGGCCACAAGAGTGACCTGCAGAGTACCCGCTGTGTCTCCACCCAGGAGGCTGAGGACCTGGCTGCCTCCCTGGGCATGACCTTCCTGGAGACCTCAGCCACCAACAACTGCAATGTGGAGCTGGCCTTTGATGTCCTCACCGCCGCCATCCAGCAGGCCCTGCAGCAGGGACACATCAGGCTAGAAGAGAACTGGGGGGGTGTTCGGCTTATCCATAATGCTCCAGTCCCCAGGCCCCCCAGCAGCAAGCAGCACCCAGCCCCTTGCCAGTGTTGACCCTGGGACAGAGAGTAACAGAGGTGCCAGCCTCACACGCCTAATGAGGCTGAGGTGTTAGGGACTCTGGAAAGCCAAGGACAGAGGGTGAATAGCAACGGTATCCTGGAAGGTCATGCCAACTGGGTTTTGGGGTGTCGCCTCAATCCTTTTCTGGAGAGAGATCTAAGAGATTCAATATTGTTACTTCCTATTCTTGAGTCTCAGTTTCCTCATCCATCAGCAGCACTCACCTGGGTTCTGAGTGGGCTAGCTCCAGGCTGTAATTGTAGCTACTTGGGAGACAGAGATCAAGATGGTAGTTCAAGGCCAGCCAGGGCATAAAAAGTGCTGGAGACTTCATCTCAATTAATGTCATCCTAGGGGCTGGGAAGGTGGCTCAGTGGTAGAGCACTTGCCTTGCATGCCTGAGGCCCTGGGTTCGATTCCTCAGCACCACATAAGCAAAAAGAAAAAAGCTGGAAGTGGCGCTATGGCTCAAGTGGTAGAGCGCTAGCCTTGAGCTGAAGAGCTGAGGGACAGTGCCCAGGCCCAGAGTTCAGGCCCCACGACCGGACCCAAAAATAAATAAATAAATAAATGTCATCCCAGCAATAAAGGGAGGTACAAAGAGGATTACAGTCCAGGCCAGCCCTGGTTTTTAAAAACATTTTTTTAAAAAGTGCAACCCTCTCTGAAAATGAAAAGCAAAAGCAAAAAGGGCTTAGGGTTCCAGAGCATCACTCAAGAGCACCTTTGTGGCCAGGTGCCTGTAACCCTAGCTACTCAGGAGGCTGAGATTAACCCTAGCTACTCAGGAGGCTGAGATCTGAGGATCACAGTTCAAAGCCAGCCCAGGCAGAAAAGTCCGTGAGACTTTTTTTTTTTGGTCCGTCGTGGGGCTTGAACTCTGGGCCTGGGCGCTGTCCCTCAGCTCTTTAGCTCAAGGTGAGCACTCTACCACTTAAGCCACAGCGCCACTTCCGTTTTTCTTGTGGTTAATTGGAGATAAGAGTTTCATGATCTTTCCTGCACGGGCTGGCTTTGAACTGCAATCCTCAGATCTCAGCCTCCTTGAGTAGCTAGGATTACAGGTGTGAGCCACCAGCGCCTGGCCCCTGAGAATCTTATCTCCAACAAACCACTAGAAAACCGGAAGTGGTGCTGTGGCTCAAGCAGTAGAGTGCTCACCTTGGGCTGAAGAGCACAAGGATAGCGCCCAAGCCCAGAGTTCAAGCCCCATGACTGACCAAAAAAAAAGGGGGGGGGGCACCTTTCTGGCAAGCTGGAGTTCCTGAGTTCAAACCCCGTATTGCCCAAATTAAAAACAAATTTAAAAAAGACCCCAGCATACAGGGAAGTCGTAGCCAAGTATGACATAATAAGCTGGGTGTCAGTGGGTCAAGCCTGTAATCCTAGCTACTAATAGGCTGAGATCTGAGAATCACGGTTCAAAGCCAGCCTGGGTAGGAAAGTCTGTGAGACTCTTATCTCCAATAAACCAACAGAAAACCAAAAGTGGCACTGTGGCTCAAGTGGCTGAGTGCTCACCTTGAGCTGAAGAGCTGAGAGACAGCATCGGGGTCCTGAGTTCAAGCCCCACAACTGGAGAAAAAAAAAAGAGATAATAAACAGATTGTGGTCACCCAGAGTCCGTCAGTGAGAGCCAAATGGCAGATCTGGCATCTCTACTATTTCCTTTCTTGATTGCCATGTGGCCATTTCTGGCAGCATCACTGGACTTGGATGCTGAGCTACTCAACACTGGGTTTCTGCTTCATTGGCAAGGAGTTGGGGATTCTGGCATGAGCCTGGCTTGGAAAGTCCTCTGGCTGGGATGAGTCTGGGCGCGGGAGCAGGTGTGGTTTCCACCTCCGGCTTCCCAGGGTCCCACCTCCAGCCCAGGGACCTGATCTCCATCTAGGAGGCCGGGAAGGATCTGAATGGACAGCACACATATTGAAGCCAGACCAGGCAGGAAAGTCCGTGAGACCAGAAAGTCAGAAGTGGAGCTGTGACTCAAGTGGTAGAGTGCTAGTCTTGAGCAAAAAAAGTTAAAGGGTAGTGCCCCAGGCCCTGAGTTCAACCCCTAGTACCACCACCACCACCATCACCACCACCACCATAAAAACGCCAGAGCTGTCATTGATTGCCTTGAGCAGAGGGACACTGGGCTTTTATTATTATTCAAACCCTGATCCTCAGATCTCAGCCTCCTGAGTAGCTAGGATTACAGGCATGAGTCACCGGCACCTGGCTACATACATTATTCTTCATATACATATGTATATGTATATATTTGTTTCGTGGCAGTAGTGGAGTTTGAACTCAGGGCCTCGCACTTGCTAGGTAGGCACTATGACACCCCCGTCCCTTTCTTCACGTTCCAGTGAGCCATTTCAAATACCTTCTAGAAAAGGGTCCCTCACACATCATGGCGGTCTTGTTGCTCCTTCAGATGGTTTCAGCCCTTCCACCAAGATCACCAGCTTCTCCATCCAGTCACTTCCGCTTGGAGATGCTGCTCTTGTGGAAACTGGAGGCGTCCACAATTCCGGCTTGCACAGGGTGGCCGCAGTCAAGGATGAACTTCAGAATGTCCCCTTTACCACAAGCGTCTTCATGAGCACCATGGTGACGGCAGAGGCAGAAAGGGTCATAATCCTTTTGCTGGTGGACTCTTCCCAGAGGCCAACAGTTACAAGTTGTGGTCCAGGAGACTCAGCCAGTCTGCAGGCCGCCTCACGAAGCCCTCCCATTCTCTACAACACACACAGACTGAGCATGGGCCCTTTACTGGGGGCCCCAGCATCCACAGGAAGCCAGGATGAAGCCATACCATGAAGCCTGAGGTCCTGTCCACCTCTAAGCTCCCTTTCTGCTCATCTCTAGCCACTTCCTCCTGATCTTGCACCCTGTGCTTTAGCCACATTCATTTACTGACTCTTAGTACTTTTTAGTGCTGGGATTGAACTTTGGGGCTTTGCTCATGCTACGAAGAACAGGCTCTATCACTGGCACAAGCTATGCCTCTAGATGTTGACACATTGGCATCTTCAGGCCTCTGGGCCTTTGCACATACCATCCTTAGCTTAAAATGCTCCAGTTACTTCTGAACAATGGGCACTCTTTGCTGGGCTCTGCAAGGCACTGCATGACTTGGCCCAACTGACTTTCCTACATTGCCTCAGGGCTTGCACGATTCCTTCTCCTGGACCGAGGACTCTACTCCTTCAGCCTCAAGTCTCTGTTCAAGTGGCATTCCTCCTCACCTGCCCAGTCTCCCCTAGCCCTGTGACCCTCTCCTTTGCAGTTCTTATTTGCTTCTCCAATGGCAGGATTGGATTCCTCCTTCTGTCTGCTTTTATTTATCATTGTAGTATCCTGCCTAGCACAGGCCTGGGCACAGCTTATAGACTTACTACATGAATGGGGAAGCCCTTTAACGTACAATTGGGATAAGACTGTGCTACAGGAAGCCACTTACCTGTCCCACAGCTCATCCATTATCACAGACTTCTCACTACCCAGTTCTTTCCATTAAACTTCTCCAAGTCCCTGGCCTCCTCTGTTCTCAATGCAAGATTCCAAAAAATCCAAATTCCTTCTTAGCTGCAGTGGCCAGCAACCTGCTTCTGCTGTCACCGCTCAGCTAGAGCCTCCTGCTGTTTGCTTACTATCTCAACACAACATCCTCTGAGGGCATTGCCCATAGGCAGCTGGCAGTTCTAGAGAAAGCTAAAACCCTTCAACATCCTCTTTCCCTTGTGGGCCACTTGAGCCTCAGGCGATAGGGGCAAGAAGGGGAGCAGGGTGCCCCCTTGTAGGCTCACTGTATTGAGACCTCAGCCAAGAACATCAAGCAGGCATCAGCACAGCCTATGATCTGCTCACCCTAAAGATCTAGGGGCTGTGAGGGGGTGAAAAGCAGAGTGTCAGGTGAGTGAAGCCTCAGGAGGCAGAAGAGCAAAGCAGGGCGAGGTGGGTGCACCTGTGCTTGCCTCTTAGCAGAGCAGCACCCTCCCTGAAGCCCAGGAAAACCACACAATCCACAAGGTCAGGATGGCTGTGCAAGTGCATAGCCCCGAGGTCTGGGGTGGGGCCTGGTTTCTCTGGATGGGGGATACGGACAGCTAAGGGCAGACCAGCATTTCTCCAAAGCTACTCCAAAGATAAACACAACTTTCTCTAGGAGTTCCAGCGGAGGTCATAAAAAGCTCTGAGTCACATTGCCATGGCCCAAACCAGGTTGCCTATATATAGTCTGGGGCTTCTGAGAGTTTACCCTGCCTGAGGGCAGAGAAACAAACTTCTACTGCTGGGGGGCCTCACCTTATAAACAATGGAAAACAAAAAATTCCCTGAGTGTTTCTCAAATGTAAAAGTCAATGCCAGTGCTGCCACCTACTGATGGCAAAACTCGGTGCAGCCCTGCTGGTCCTAACTCCCTCTGGCATTCCAAAGGCTGTAAGCCATGCACCCTGTCTTTCAATTAATAACTTCTTTATTCTGGAAAAGCAAATCAAATTCATATTCATATAAACACTGACATTACAAAGTACAGGGAATAGGGGATGGAGGAAGAAACAAAACCCTCTACAAATCCTGCTAATACTGTCTCACCCAACAAGACCAAAATGCTTTGTCCCATACTCAATTACTAATTATAATAAGCCACAAATAAAATCTTCTCTGGAAGATACACTGCTCCTCTTAGAGACGGCAGGGAGAAGGACCCGGAAGAGGGGAGGAGGCTTTATTCTTTTGGCAGATCATCTCAGTCATTATAGATATTGCTGCACTGTTAATAAAAAATATATGCTTCTCTGTAAAGCATTTAAAAAAAAATTCCAAGGATGAGATGGCTGAGGTCTCAGCTCAAGTATCTCCAAATACATTGTTGTCCATTTCCTGACTTTTCCGTGTGTTATTTCTTGGTTGTTTTCCGGATCAATGCCATTCTCTGAAAGGAGAGAGAAATAGGAGTTGCACAGGCGAGAGTCAGCATGGTCAGCACCATGGCCGTCACAGAGCAGCCCAGCAGGGACCTTCTAACCAGAGGGCAGTAGAGAAGGTCTGGAGAGAGGCTCCAATGTGTGGCCGTGCTCTGTGGGTCCATTCATCTACCAAAAGATCCAAATTGCTCTAGACTAGCAGCTGGGCAAATGCATTAGAAGCAGAAGGGCTCTTGCCTTTTGGGAACACAGGGGACAGATCAGCAAAGAAGGTGTTTCCTAGGCTCTCCTTACCCCAATCTTCTTTCTTTGATAAAGGGAAAATAAGAGAAGGGCCTCAATTTCAAACTTTCAGTGATCCTCAGATCTCAGCCTTCTGAGTAGCTAGGATTATAGGCGTGAGCCACTGGTGCCTGTCTTTTTTTTTTTTTTTAATAACAGTACTGGGGTTTGAATCCAGGGTCTCTCACTTACTAGACAGGCACTCTACTGATTGAGTCTTCCACTTCCCAAGTAGCCAGGATGATAAAGTGATTGTCCTAACATTATGCTCTTTGCTGACTAAATAAATAGTGTTAAAGAGGGAATGATTTGGGAGCAAGTCACAATGGCAGTCTGGAAAAACTCCCTTCTGAAGAATAGTGTACCCCTTTTACTTAGGCTATTGATGGCTTTCTGGTAGGACTTCCTTCATGGACTCTGTAACCATCTACTCTGGGGATACCGAGCTGTGGAAAAGTAAGTGACTCACTGAGACTGGCTAGTTATGAGCATTAAGCTCCGAAACAGCTCACATTGTAAGTCAGAGCAGCAAGTTAAATTGGCAGAAAGAATTACAGCTTTGCCAAAGGGAGGCCAATTTGCTATTGGACCGAGCGATTCCAATGCATTGCTCTGTGATGGTGTCCCACTCCCCCTAGGCTCCTCGTTAATAGGGGAGGAGGACGAAGGTAGTGACCCAGCCCAGAATGCTTGGCAGAGCAGCGTGGGTTTTACTTCTCAGCCCAAGTAGTGCATTTTTTCTTTTTTGTCCTACTCTATTCATAGGGCTATATGTACCATATCGCCACATATATCAAATCAGCAAAAGTAAAGATTTCGGAGAAGGTAACAATGCTTGATAGGAAATGTACTCATTACCTTGCTCATATAACTGTAACCCCTCTGTACAGTTTTTTATAATAAAAAACATTTAAAAAAAAGATTTCATTACGGAGGTATTGAGGGGGAAGCTTCAGACATGAGAAACCCATCAGACATGAGAAAGCATTGGTAGTCTATGTGGGAACAGCAAGCCACAAGAAACATGTGATTGTTGCTGTCCCTTGCCTTCTGTGGCTTTGGTCCAGACTGTGGGGCTTGTTGTGTGCTGTGGGGTTAAGTTGTCCAGAAGGTGGACCTCCCTCTGAGATGAAGTTCAAGGGCACCAGGGCCCTAGTGACTCCTCACCTGTTTATGAGCTTCTGTGGTACAAGCTTTTTTGTAGGGTCGGATTTCTTCAGAGCCAAATCCTGGGATCCACATGTTCCACTGGCGTTCTGTTAAGGATGAAGCCAACACAGACAACACAGAGATGAGTACCAGGAAGGCAGTCAGGACCCTCAGATTATCACCAAGGAGAAAGAATACAATATTAACCCTACAGAGCAATTCTTGGCATGCAAGAAAGAAAGATGCACATGGCTTCTCCAAGCTTTCCAAAGAGAATGAGAGGGGTGGGATTGTGGCTCAGTGGTAGAGTGCTTGCCTCGATGCATGAGGCCCTGGGTTTGATTCCTCAGCACCACATAAACAGAAACGCTGAGGAATTGAACCCAGGGCCTCATGCAACAATCAGGGCTAGGAAGGCGGCTCAGTGGTAGAGTGCTTGCCTTGCATTCATGAGGCCCTGGGTTCGATTCCTCAGCATCACATAAACAGGAAAAGCCAGAAGTGGTCCTGTGGCTCAAGTGGTAGAGTGCTCACCTTGAGCTGAAGAGTGCAGGGACAGTGTCCAGGCCCAAAGTTGAAACCCCACAACTGACCAAAAAAAAAAAAAAGGATAGAAGGAGAATATCTTTTTTTTTTTTTGGTCGGTTATGGAGCTTGAATTCTGGGCTTTGGTGCTGTCCCTGTGTTCTTTAGCTCAAGGCAAGCACTCTACTACTTGAGCCACAGTGCCACTTCTGATTTTCTAGTAGTTTATTGGAGATAAAAGTCCCATGGAGTTTCCTGACCAGGCTGGCTTTGAACCGAGATCCTCAGATCTCAGCCTCCTGAGTAGCTAGGATTACAGGCGCCTGGCTGAGAATATCTTAAAAAAAAAAAGGTAAAAGGTGGCTGGGAAGGTGGATTAGTGGTAAAGCACTTGCCTTGCATGCTTTAGGCCCTGGGTTCAATTCCTCAGCACCACATAAGCAGAAAAAAAAAAAAAGAAGAAGGTAAAAGGTAAAAAGTAAAAGTAGGGGCTGGGAATGTGGCTTAGTGGTAAAGTGCTTGCCTAACATGCATGAAGCCCTAGGTTTGATTCCTCAGTACCACATAATCAGAAAAAGCCAGAAGTGGCGCTGTGGCTCAGGTGGTAGAGCGCTTGTTTTGAGCACAGAGAGGCTCAAGAATAGTGCCTAGGCCGAGTTCAAGCCCCAAGACTGGCAAAAAAAAAAAAAAAGGCAAAAGCAGTGATGCACATCTGTGTACCAGTAGACACACAGCATTCAGGAGGATTCTGAGTTCAAAGCCAGCCTGGTCTATACAGAGGAACATATCAAAAAATGACCACAAAGGGGCTGGGAAGATGGCTCAGTGGTAGAACGCTTGCCCTGCATGCCTGAGGCCCTGGGTTCGATTCCTCAGCACCACATAAGCAAAAAGAAAAAAGCCGGAAGTGGCACTGTGGCTCAAGTGGTAGAGTGCTAGCCTTGAGCTGAAGAGCTGAGGGACAGCGTTCAGGCCCAGAGTTCAGGCCCCACGACTGGACCCAAAAAAAAAAAAAAAATGCCCACCAAAAAAAAAAAAGAAAAAGAAAATAAAGGAGGAAGGGAAGGAAGGAAAGAGATGGAGTGGAGTTAAAGGAAAAGGAAAGGTTAAAAAAAAAAAAAAAGGGTGGGTGGGTGGGAGGAATATGTTAAATTAGTTAAAGCTGTTAGTGCTAAGTTCTAAAGTTTCAAGTATCACACCTAATCCATACAAAATGAACTCACTTCTTTCCTTAGCTGACATTTTTTTCCTCCAATTCTGGGGCTTGAACTCAGGGCCCCCATTCTCACTTGCCTTTTACATTCAAAGCTGGCATTCTGCCATTTGAGCCTCATCTTCACTTCCAGCTTTTTGGTGGTTAATAGGAGATAATAATCTCATGGACTTTTTTGCCAAGACTGGCTTCCAACCTATGGTTCCAGATCTTAACCTCCTGAGTAACAAGGATTACAGCTGTGATCCACTGGTGCCCAGCTTACCTTTGTATTTTCTTTGCGTCTTACCCTGCCTTCTTATTAGTACAAGATGAGGTTAAAGTAGAAAAAAGATGAAAGTATTGGTTTGTTTCAACTGAAAGGGGCTCTGTCAGATACTGAGTTCTCAGGCATAGTCTGCTTCCTGATTCATCCCTGACTGTGTATGTGCACTCCTTTATCCCTCAGTAGTGCCCCAAAAAGCACAAAAAACACAACTTGTTTTACATTATTTATTTTGCCCCAAGCAGACACCTACTTAAAGTGAGTACTAGTGACTTCATGGTCATAAATATTATATGAGGGCTGGGAATGTGGCTCAGTGGTAGAGTGCTTGCCTAGCATGCCCTGGTTCGATTCCTCAGTACCACATAAACAGAAAAGACTGGAAGTGGCACTGTGGCTCAAGTGATAGAGTGCTAGCGTTGAGCAAAAGAAACTCAGGGACAGTGCCCAGGCCCTGAGTTCAAGCCCCAGGACTGGCAAAAATAAATAAAATAAAAACAAATAAATATGTGAATAACAACTCATGTTTGCTTCCAAAATAATTTCTTTTGAGCTAGAGGTCTTGCTATGTTGCCCAGGCTGGTCTCAAACTGATAGGTTCAGCCGGGCACTGATGGCTCATGCCTGTAATCCTAGCTATTCAGGAGGCTGAATAGCTGAGGATCTGAGGATCGAGGTTCAAAGCCAGCCCGGGCAGGAAAGTCTGTGAAACTGTTATCTTCAATAAGCCACTAGAAAACCAGAAGTAGTGCTGTGACTCAAGTGGTAGAGCGCTTGCCATGAGCTGAAGAGTGCAAGGACAGCGCTCAAGCCGAGTTCAAGCCCCACGACCAACAACAACAACAAAAAAAACAACTTATAGGTTCAAGTGATCTTCCTGTCTTAGCCACTCAAGTAGCTGGACATATAGGTATACACTGCTACACCCAGCTAACAACTGTTATTAATTTTGTTTGCTTGTTTTTAGTGTAGTCTTTGATTGAACCCAAGGCCTCACAAACATTAAATCTTCTACTATTTATATTCCAGCTAGTTAAGCCAGTGTTTTTGTTATTTATTTATTTATATTTTTGCCAGTCCTGGGGCTTGAACTCAGGGCCTGGGCACTGTCCCTAAGCGTCTTTTGCTCAAGGCTAGCACTCTACCACTTTAGCCACAGAGCTACTTCTACTGTTTTTTTTTTTTTTTGGTCCGGTAGTGGGGCCTGAACTCTGGGCCTGGGCGCTGTCCCTCAGCTCTTCAGCTCAAGGCTAGCGCTCTACCACTTGAGTCACAGCATCACTTCTGGCTTCTTTCTTTTTGCTTTTGTGGTGCTGAGGAATCGAACCCAGGGCCTCTGGCATGCAAGGCAAGCGCTCTACCACTGAGCCACCTTCCCAGCCCCTACTTCTACTTTTTCTGTGTATGTGGTACTGAGTAATCGAACCCAGGGCTTTGTGCATGCTAGGCAAACACTCTACCACTAAGCCACATTCCCAGAACTTGGTTTGTCTTTTTCTTTTTTGTCGGTTTTGGGTCTTGAACCCTGGGCCTGGGCGCTGTCCCTCAGCTCTTCAGCTCAAGTATAGCGCTCTACCACTTGTGCCACTGCCAGTTTTCTGGTAGTTTATTGGAGATAAGAGTCTCAAAGATTTTCCTGCCCGAGTTGGCTTTTAACAGCAATACTCAGATCTCAGTCTCCTGAGTAGCTAGGATTATAGGTATGAGCCACCAACACCTGGCTTGATTTTTCTTTTCTTTGTCTTTTCTTTTTTGCTACTGGTGATTAAATCCAGGATGTTACATTTGCTAAGCAAGTGCTTTGCCAGCTACATCCTAACCCATGTTTTTGCTCTTTTTTGAGCCAGTCCTGGGGCTTAAATTCAGGGTCTGCAAGCCATCTTTGAGCTTTTTTGTTCAAGGCTAGTACTATCACTTGAACCACAGATCCACTTCTGGTTTTTTGTTTTTTGGGGGAGGGTTTTGGTAGTTAATTGGAGGTAAGAGTCTCATGGACTTTCCTGCCCCCACTGGCTTTAAATCTTGATCCTGAGATCTGTCTCTTGAACAGCTAGGATTATAGGCATAAGCCACCAGCACCTGGCTTTCTTCTTTCTTAGTTTTTTTTTTGCCGGTTGGAGGACCTGAACTCTGGGCCTGGGAGCTGTTCCTAGGCTCTTCAGCTCAAGGTGAGCACTCTACAACTTGAGCCACAGTGACACTTCTGGCTTTTTCTGTTTATGTGGTGTTAAGGAATTGAACCCAGGGCCTCATGCATGCGAGGCAAGTACTCTACCACTGAGCTACCTTCCCAGCCCCTAGGTTTTTTTTTGGCTGGTTAAGGGTTTGACCTTTGGGCCTGAGCACTGTCCCTCAGCTCTTTAGCTCAAGGCAAGCACTCTACCAATTGAGCCACAGCGCCACTTCCAGTTTTCTGGTGGTTTATTGGAGATAAAGAGTCTCACAGACATTCCTCCCCGGGCTGGCTTTAAACCGCAATCCTCAGATCTCAGCCACCTGAATAGATAGGATTTTATGCATGAGCCACCAGTGCCCGGCTCTTTCTTAGTTTTGAATCCGTGTCTCCCTATATAGTCCAGCTGGCCTTGAACTCAACTCTGTAGCTCAGCCTGGCTTCAAACTCACAGTCCTCTTACCTATCTTCCCTATAGCTGTGATGATAGCCATGAGCCACCATGTTCTCCTAATTTTATAATTATCTTAGAAAACATGCACAAATTGAATAAAAAACAAAAAGGAATACTGAGAAAGAGGGTTTGTTTTTGTGTAAGTACTCTATCGAAGAGCTAAAACTCTAGCACTAAATAAGTGTTTTATTACAATACAAAAGACATAAGAGTAATAACTACTACTAGGCACTTACTTGGCGCCATTCCTTATGCCAGTCACTTTCCAAACATAATTTTCCTAAGTACCTGGTAAAGAGAATAGCATAAGCTCCACTTCACAAATGAATTGGGCACTGGTGGCCCACACCTATAATCCTAGCTACTCAGGAGGCTTCAGCTCTGAGGAACGCTGATGAAAGCCAGACAGGGCAGAAAAGTCTGCGAGACTTTTTAATTAACCACCAAAAAAGCCAAAAATGGAGTTCTGGCTTGTGTGGTAGAGCACTAGCCCTGAGCAAAAGAGCTCAGAGATGGCACCTAGGCCCTGAGCTCAAGCTCCAGAACCAGCACAAGAAAAATAAAAAATAATAAGAAATGGGCTGTGAGAGAAATCAAACAGGGAAGAAGAAGGTAATTAGAGCTGCCAAAAGGCAGAATCTGATTTAAGTCCAATGCAGAAATAAAAACCTGGTCTTGGCACAAAAGTTCCTCTGACTGCGCTTTTCCCAGCAGTCCTGAAGGAGCAGTCATGGAGATACTTGAGGGAAACAGAAAACTAAGACCATGTACCTAGATGCAGCTGGACATCCTTCACCTCCAGGGTACTTGACTTGCGATGCCGTGCGAGCTGACAGGCTGCTGTCACCACACTCTCAATAAAATCATCAGCGATCTGCAGCAGCATCTGGAGAAGGCAAAGTAGTGGAAAGTCATGTGATATCGACAGAGTACACTCCTGTTGCTGGGAAAACTGTTTTTCTGTCTGATTCCCAGTCAAGTTTCTTTTCATAAGCAATATCCTCAGCCCTTTTTAGGCAGGCTTTCTATCAGCATTGGGGTCATGGTGGGGATGAGGATCGAGGAGGACAATATACATTATCCAGGCCAACTGCAACTCATCTTAAGGTTATACTTTTGGTATTTTCTATATTTTTAATTTCTATAATCCCTAACTCATATGTATGCACTTTATACATTATATATGTATTTTTTTCCCTAAGAGTGAACAGTTTGCAGGCACCGGTGGCTCATGCCTGTAATCCTAGCTATTCAGGAGGCTGAGATCTAAGGATCGCAGTTCAAAGCCAGCCCAGGTAGGAAAGTCCGTGAGACTTGTATCTCCAGTAAAAAAACATAGAAAACCAGAAGTAGTGCTGTGGCTCAAGTGGTAGAGCGCTAGCCTTGAGCTGAAGAGCTGAGCGACAGCGCCCAGGCCCAGAGTTCAGGTCCCATAACCAAAAAACAAAACAAAACAAAACAAAACAACAACAACAACAACAAAGAATATTATATGCCAATCTCGGATGAAAAAATTCTCAAACCAGCTGGGTGACAGTGGCTCACACCTGTAATCCTAGCTACTCAGGAGGCTGAGATCGGAGGATCTCAGTTCAAAGCCATCCTGGGCAGGAAACTCCGTGAGACTCTTTTCTCTAATAAACCACTAGAAAACTGGAAGTGGCGCTGTGGCTCTAGCAGTAGAGTGCTCGCCTTGAGCTGAAGAGCGCAGGGACAACACCCAAGCCCAGAGTTCAAGCCCCATGACTGACAAAAAAAAAGTCCAGGCACATGAACTTGAGAGATTCATACTTCTAATTAACCAGCAAAGCGGGGCGCTGGTGGCTCACGCCTGTAATCCTAGCTACTCAGGAGGCTGAGATCTGAGGATCGCGGTTCAAAGCCAGCCCGGGCAGGAAAGACCATGAGACTCCTATCTCCAATAAACCACCAGAAAACCGGAAGTGGCGCTGTAGCTCTAGTGGTAGAGCGCTCGCCTTGAGCTGAAGAGCTGAGGGACAACGCCCAGGCCCAGAGTTCAAGCCCCACGACTGACAAAAAAAAAAAAAAAAATAATTAACCAGCAAAAAGCTGGAAGTGGAGTAACTCCAGTGGTAGAGTGCCAGCTTAAGCAAAAAGCTAAGCAAGAACGTGAGACCCTGAATTGTACCAGTACCAGCACTTAGTTAATAATTAATCAATAAAGTGTAACACAGTTTAGGCACAGATCATGACATAAGGCTATAGAAAGTCAAGGTAGGGACATGGCTCAGTGACAGAGTGTTTGAGCACTTGTCTACCACATGCAAATCCCTGGGTTTCTTCTCTGGTACTGAAAACCAACAACAAACAAATACTAAGCATTCTCTTAGGTGATCTGTATAAATTCTTCCTTGGGATTTTCACAGTAATCTTGTAGAGAAATAATATGCCACTCTACCAACATAGGGGGAGCTATGTCTCAGAAAGCTTGCATAACTCATCTAAAGCTATACAGCTGGTAAGTGGCAAAGCCAACATTGAACTTCACATGTATCTCCCACTGAATTTCCTCTTAACTACTACAGGGCTGGGAAGGTGGCTCAGTGGTAGACCGCTTGCCTTGCATGCATGAGGCCCTGGGTTCGATTCCTCAGCACCACATAAGAAAAAAGAAAAAAACCAGAAGTGGCGCTGTGGCCCAAGTGGTAGAGCGCTAGCCTTGAGCTGAAGAGCTGAGGGACAGTGCCCAAGCCCAGAGTTCAGGCCCCATGACCGGACCAAAAAAAAAACTACTACACTCTACCAACCCTCAGGGAAAGTCTCTAGAGGACCCAAACCACCTTACCTCCTCCACATCTTCATCCAATTGCTCATTAGGATCCACTTCTCTTACTAAGTCCTGTAATTTCTTCTTGGTCAATACCTAAAGTTCATTGGGGCGAGGAAGGAGATTTTTCAGTGAGTAATAAGAAAGCAAAACAACTTCTTGCTCTACACCAAACAAAAAAAGGCTTTCAAATTATTGGATTTCATTTTAAGTTTCCAAGATGTTCACAACCTGGCCTGTTATAAAAGTACACTCTCAAGACAGATGTGACTTAGATAAGGAGAAATAGAGTGGTTTACGAGAGGCCAGTATCTAACTGCCAGGCACTTTATTTCCAGCTTATCTCTTTTTTATTGTGCCTCATCCCCTTTACATTAAGTAATTTGCAATTTTCTGGCTATAATTGTAACCGTACTTCTGCACTTGTTGCCTTTGGACAAGTCCTTCCCTTCTTTTTTTTTTTTTTTTTTTTTTTGGTTGGTGGTGGGATTGAACTCTGAGCCTGGGCACTGTCCCTCAGCTCTTCAGCTCAAGGTGAGTGCTCTACCGCTTGAGCCACAGCACCACTTCCAGTTTCCTAGTGGTTTATTGGAACTAAGAGTCTTATGGACTTTCCTGCCGGGCTGGCTTTGAACTGTGATCCTCAGATCTCAGCCTCCAGAGTAGCTAGGATTACAGGGGTGAGCTACCTGCTCAGGCTCACTTCTAGTTTTCTGGTGGTTAATTGGAGATAAGAGTCTCAAGTTCCTGCCTGGGCTGGCTTTGAACTGTGATCCTCAGATCTCAGCCTCCAGAGTAGCTAGGATTACAGGTGTGAGCCACCAGCACCAGCCTTCCCTTCTTCGTATGTGTTCAATTTGTAGCTTTCCTTTCCTATCTTTCCTGGCCCACCCCAAAAAAGCAACTATTTCCTCCTTTGTCTTCTCTGTTCTGTGAACACTTCTGTCTTTTTGCATATTTATAAACTTGCCTATATCTGATGACTTAATAGAAATCCTATGAGGACAACTAACACACTCATCTCTGTATTGGCATGTATAGCTACTATCCTTTTCTCATAAAGGAAGTGTCACATTACATATGTATAGCATAAAACAGTGGTTAAGGGAGGAATGGGGGATATAGTTCAATGGTACACCACTTTCTCAGCATGCATGAGGTTCTGGATTGGATCCCCAACATAACTAACTAAACGAACAAACAATTATCTGTTAATGATGTTTCAAATCTATTCAGCCTTCTGCATTCTACCATTATTACCTAGTTCAACCCTTCACCATAAGTCTTGATTTGTTGTAAGTCTTAAAATTGGTCCTCCTTTCAGTCTAAATTCATTATTACCATTACCAAATTAATCCCCTCTAAGACACACCACTGTTAAAGCATTACTGATTATCCCTAGTATGTAAAAAGATAGTCTATGACCCAAAAGTTCCAATAGAAATTTTCTAGTATAGACACACTATGTTCGCCTGTAATCATACCAATACAGCTTTATTATTGCTCTTAGTCACTAGACTCTGTATTCAACATAGGCTAGTCTTTTGACTGCCTAGCCCTTCCTCATTCTGTTTTGCTAGTCTCTACATCGCTTCCTCGAAATACTTCCTTATCCACTGTACTCAGCCTATGAGACCCAAGTAAAGGAATTATATACTTATTTTTTTGTGGCTCTAGAAGGTGGAATCAGGATCATAGGTAGAAAGAAGGGAGCAGGTTCTAGAATCAGTACAGAATTAATAACAGCAGCAGTTGGATGAACTACAAGAAGAAATGGCTGGAGACAAGACTTGGTTTTTTGTTTGTTTGTTTGTTTTTGTCGGTTGTGGGGCTTGAATTCTGGGCTTGGGCGCTATCCCTCAGCTCTTCAGCTCAAGGCTAGCGTTCTACCACTTGAGCCACAGCACCACTTCTGAGTGGTTTATTGGAGATAAGAGTCTCTTGGCTTTCTTGCTCCAGCTGGCTTTGAACCATGATTCTCAGATTTCAGCCTCCTGAATAGCTAGGATCACAGGTGTGAGCCACCAGCACCAGGCTTTTTTTGGTTTGTTTATGTGCCAGTCCTGGGGCTTGAACTCAGGGCTGGGTGATGTTTCTGAGCTTTTTTGCTCAAGGCTAGTATTTTACCACTTGAGCTATAGCTCCACTTCCAGCTTGTTGGTGGTTAACTGGAGATAAGAATATCATAGTCGCCGGGCGCTGGTGGCTCACGCCTGTAATCCTAGCTACTCAGGAGGCTGAGATCTGAAGATCACGGTTCAAAGCCAGCCCGGGCAGGAGAGATTGTGAGACTCCTATCTCCAATAAACCACCAGAAAACCGGAAGTGGCGTTGTAGCTCAAGTGGTAGAGTGTTCGCCTTGAGCTGAAGAGCTGAGGGACAGCGCCCAGGCCCAGAGTTTAAGCCCCACGGCCGACAACAACAACAAAAAAAGAATATCATAGTCTTTCTTGTCTTGGATCTCAACCTCCTGAGTAGCTAGGATTACAGGTGTGAACCTGACAAGAGTATTTTTGCTTTAGCAAAAATGAATCCATGTATTATTTGACAACTATATATCTAACATATAATGCACCTGCCATATGAAAGATATTGTGTTAGGAATTGTGGATATAAGATGTAGGTATATATGTACACATATAATTGCATATTTAACATTAATTAAATCTGATAAATATTGTACATAATTTAATAAAGAATGATAGAATTACAGAGAAGGGAAAAGACCATTTTCTTTTCTTTTTTTTTTTTTGGTCGGTCGCGGGGCTTGAACTCTGGGACTGGGCGCTGTCCCTCAGCTCTTCAGCTCAAGGCAAGCACTCTACCACTTGAGCTACAGCGCCACTTCCGGTTTTCTGGTGGTTTATTGGAGATAGGAGTCTCACGGTCTCTCCTGCCCGGGCTGGCTTTGAACCGCGATCCTCAGATCTCAGCCTCCTGAATAGCTAGGATTACAGGCGTGAGCCACCAGCGCCAGGCTGGAAAAGACCATTTTCAACCAAGAAAAGGCAGCACCTGAGAAGGCCACTTCTCTCTTTTTTTTTGGGGGGGGGGGGAGGGGAAGGTCCTCATCCTAGGGCTTGAACTCAGTGCTGGGCACTATTCCTGAGCTTTCTTTGTTCAAGGCTCCCACTCTACCCCTTGAACCACAACTCCACTTAGGCTTTTTGGTAGGTAAATGCAGATAAGAGACTCAGGAACTCTCCTGACAGGCTGGCTACAAACCACAATCCTCAGATCTCAGCCTCCTGAGTAGCTAGGATTACAGGCATGAGCCACTAGCGCCCACTGGAGCCATCTCTTAAAGCATTACAGGTTCAAATAAAAGGAAGAGGTGCCTGCAGAGTAGGGGGAGTTAAGATGATACCTGGTTGTTTTCAGGGCTAAGACGCCCCCCAGTCCCAGGCGTGCCTGGTATCTTTACCACCGTTGTGCTATTGGCCATGGAGCCTTGTGGAGGGGTGCTGGCTGGTTCCGGTTTTATGGATGAGAAATTGGAGAGGTTGATTAGGGCTGAGGGGCCAAACTGGTTCATAATCTGCCGAGCTTTGGACTTCAGCTCATAGAGCTTATCAAGATCCTGTTTCTTTTTGGAGCTGTGAGGACCAAGGCCAATCAACTGGAAAATGAAAACATGACAATCAGCTCTAGAAAAAATACCTATAATAAAAGATGAGTTTTGAAATTAAAATTATAGGAGATTTGTCAGACTTTGACGGGGTCTTCAGTATATCTGAAATAGCAACCATTTGATGCCTACACATCAACATGAAAGAAATAATGCTCCTTGCTCTCACCTGATATTAGAAACCATTTCTTCTCCAAAAGCTAAATGAAATAGTCCACAAAATTAAAGTAATAAAGAAAGTAAATGAAATGAAGCTTACATACAGAAATAGAAGAAGCAAGACAGATTTGAGGACTTTTACAAACAATACTTGGCTCAGTATTTACATGCATTTTTTAAGTATGTCAAATACTGTTAAAACAAATCATAACACACGTACTGAAAACTCAGTCACAAAACTTAAGAAAACAGATTAGTTCATTTTGCATTTCAAAACATGCTTGAGTCTATGTCTGAATTCTGCCCATATCACACAATACTAAAAGTGAGCTCTTCCTTATAATAAAGAGCATGTTTTCTCTGAGTGTTAGCAATGTTTACGTACATGCAGAGACTCTGGGCTGAAGCAGCTGAGTTTCCTAAGTCTTAGAGCCATGAGGCTGACGCTGTGGACATCAACTTTGGTGACCTCAGGATCAGAAGCACATTCACCAAGTTTTGCCCACAGTGGCTTCAAGGAGCTTACTTACAGCTATCTGAGTGTCTAGATCTTTAATTACATCAGCAACAGCTGTGAGCCCGGTGAAATGAGAGGCAGCCATTTTCAAAAGCTACCTGTAAATGAACAACTAGCATCAAGCACCACCCTTGTCTCAGAATTATTCCACTTGCATGGTCTGGACATAGCTTCACCAACCAACCAAGATTCAGGCACATTGGATCCAGAGAACCATATTCAGATCCTTCCTCAATCTCAGTCTCTCTCACTTTTTTGATAAAGTGTCTTGCAATGTACCCAAGCTGGCCTCTAACTCAAAATATACTTGCCTCAACCTCTCAAACGCTGGGATTACAGGGATACACTACCATGCCTAGTTCATAAATAATCTTAAAATGTAATTAATAACAAATACTTAAAAACTCGTGGTAGGGCCAGGCATGGTGGCATGTATGTCTAATCCCAGCAATAAGGAATTTTAGGTGAAACACTTGAGTTCAAGAGTTTGAGACAAACTTTTGATAAAACGGTGAGATTCTGTGAGGAAGGAAGGAAGGAAGGAAGAAAGGAAGGAAGGAAGGAAGGAAGGAAGGAAGGAAGGAAGGAAGGAAGGAAGGAAGGAAGGAAGGGAGGGAGGGAGGAAGGGTAGGAAAGGAAGAAGGGAAGGGAGGGAGGGAGAGGAAGAGAAGGAGGTAAAGAAGAGAGGGGAGGAGAAGAGAGGGGAGAGGAAAAGCATGGTGGTGCACACCTGTAATCCCAAAACTCAGGAAGGGGGCTGGGAAGGTGGCTCAGTGGAAGAGCGCTTGCCTTGCATGCCTGAGGCACTGGGTTTGATTCCTCAGCACCACATAAGCAAAAAGAAAAAAGTCGGAAGTGGCGCTGTGGCTCAAGTGGTAGAGTGCTAGCCTTGAGCTGAAGAGCTGAGGGACAGCGCCCAGGCCCAGAGTTCAGGCCCATGAATGGAACCAAAAAAAAAAAAAAGAAAGTACCAAAACTCAGGAAGGTGAGCCAGAAGGATTGAATTTGAGGCCAAGTTGGTCTACACAGCCAGATACTTTCTTAAATAAACAGGAACTAGGGTATGGCTCAAGTGATACAGTACTTGCCTAGCAAACCCTAAGTGCAATTCCCCCATACCATCAAAAACAAAAAAAGTAAAATGCAAAGTATGGAAGCACAGACATGTAATCCTACCACTGAGGAGATTGAGACAGAAGGATCGATCACAAGTTTGGGTTACATAGCAAGTTTGAGGTCAGCCTGCACTACAAGATACTATCTGAGAAAAGGAAGAATTAAAAATTGATTATTAGAGCTATGTGCCAGTGGCTCATGCCTATAATCCTAGCTGCTCAGAAGGCTGAGATGTGAGGATTGGAGTTTGAAGCCAGGCCAGGCAGAAAAGTCCCCATGAGACTCTTCAATTAACTACTAAAAAAATGGGAAGTGTAGCTCTGGATCAAGGGGTTGAGTGCTAGCATTGAGCACAAAGAGGCTCAGGAACAGCGCCTACACCGAGTTCAAGCACTACAACCAATCAAAAAAAAAAAAAATCTTTGAGTATAGTATATACATGACACAGGGTCTTGTAATGTAGCCCAGGCTGGCTTTGAACTTGTACTTTTCCTGCCTCAGCCTCCTGAGTACTGGATGAGATGACTTGCTATTATTCAAAATAGACATATAAAACAATAGCATATAAAATAGCATATAAAACAATAGCATATAAAACAATTTGGCAAAACTGTGGGATTTGAACTGCAGGAATCATGTCGTGTCAATGGCTTTTAAAATTTGGTAAGGTTTAGCAAGCTAAATGAGTATATCTATTCTGCTCTATTCTACTTCAGGCTTCTTCCCCAACACACTGGGGAGGAAATATGAAAAATATGAAAAAGTACATTATTCTGGTTTACCCTTAAAAAAAAGGAACTATGGGGGCTGGGAAGGTGGCTCAGTGGTAGAGCACTTGCCTTACATGCATGAGGTTCTGGGTTAGATTCCTCAGCACCACATAAGCAAAAAGAAAAAAGCTGGAAGTGGTGCTGTGGCTCAAGTGGTAGAGTGCTAGCCTTGAGCTGAAGAGCTGAGGGACAGCGCCCAGGCCCAGAGTTCAGGCCCCACGACCGGACCAAAAAAAAAAAAGGAGCTATGTACTAGTCAAGTGAATCGGGCTGACTAGTTGCCAAGGGCAAAGTGATGGGAACAGCAGGGCATTTAGGATCACTTGTTTGCTTTCAAAATCATATATGACCTGTGCCTCTTTCTCCTACCCATGTTACTCATGGAAGACTCAGGATAGGAAAATTGTTAACATGGTCAGTTATTCTAACAGTATAAAAAGTAAACCATTTTTTAATGTAAAAGCCTTATTAAAGACTGTCAAACTCTTAGCTATGGCTCTGGTCCTCTGTCGTGAGGCATTTAAGGACACATTGGGTAAGGCTCTCACTCAAGTCATTAACAACACCTGCCTTGTGGCAGCCAGCCAGCCTCACATTTCCCCATGCCATGATGCTCTTACTCTCCAGTATTACCTGAGTCTACTCTGCCCTCAAACTATAAAACCATGAGATTATTCAGATAGGGATCTCAATAAAACTGAGGTAATCCTAGCTAACCAGGCAGCTAAGACCTAGAGGAAGGTAGTTCAAAGCCAGCTCAGGGGGCTGGAAAGTTGGCTCAGTGATAGAGTACTTGCCTTGCATGCATTAGGCCCTGGGTTCAATTCCTCAGTACCACATAAGCAGAAAAAAGCCAGAAGTGGTGCTGTGGCTCAAATGGTAGGGCACTAGCCTTGAGCTGAAGAGCTGAGGGGCAGTGCCCACGCCCAGAGTTCAGCCCCCAAGACCAACCAAAAAATAACAACAACAAAAAAAGCTCAGGCAAAAAAGTCTGTAAGATTCTACAATTAATCAACAAAATGCCAGAATGGAGGCATGACTCAGTGGTAGAGCACCAGACATGACCGAAAAAGTCAAGAGAGAGCAAGAAGCCCTGAGTTCAAGGCCCACTACTGGCACACAAAAAAAGAAACAAATGGAAAAATAACAACAAAACAAAAACAAAAACAAAACACCTGGCTGGCTAGGCATTGGTGGCTTACATCTATAATCCTAGTCACTCAGAAGGCTTGAGATCTAAGGATGATGGTTTAAAGCCAGTCCAGGCAAGAAAGTCTGTGACACTCTTACTTCCAATTAGCCACCAAAAAAGCTGGAAGTGGAGTTGTGGCTCAAGTGGAAGTGTGATAATCATGAGCAAAAAAGCTCAGGAACAGTGCCCAGGCCCTGAATTCAAGCACCAAGAATCCCCCCACCTCCACCCCCACAAACACACACAAGATAAAAAAAGTAAATATTTGTTTCAATAGGTATTAAGCTTTTTTTTTTTATGGTCATGGAGCTTGACCTCAGAGCCTGGGTGGTATCCCTGAGTTCTTTTGCTCAAGGCTAGCACTCTACCACTTTGAGCTACAGCTCCACTTCTGGTTTTCTGGTTGTTAATAGGAGATAAGTCTTGTGGGCTGTGACTTAGTGGTAGAGTGCTTGCCTAACATTCATGAAGCCCTGGGTTTGATTCCTTAGTACCACATAAATAGAAAAAGCTGGAAGTGCTGCTGTGGCTCAAGTGACAGAATGCTAACCATGAGCACGGAGAGGCTCAGAGACAGTGCCCAGGTCATGAGTTCAAGCCCCAGGACTGGCAAAAAATAAAAATAAAAGGGCTGGGATGTAGCTCAGTGGCAAAGCGCTTGCCTAGCAAGTGCAACGTCCTGGATTCGATCCCCAGTACCAAAAAGAAAAAAAATAAAAATAAAAATAAAAAAGCTGTGTGAACTTTCCTGCCCAGGCTGCCTTTGGCTTTGAATAGCTAGGATTACTGGAGTGGGCCACCAGTTCCTGGCTGATTTTTGTTGTTTTTAATCCAAAAGTCTGAAGCAACTAGATTTTGTTCTTGTTCTATTCTGAAGTGCTGGGAACTAAACCCAGGGTCTCCAACATGCTAAGCAAGTAATATGCCACTTAGCTACATCCCCAACCCTATTAAAACTTTTTCAAAAATAAATAAATATTCCAGGACCAGGTGTGGTGGCATATATTTGTAATTCCAGCTATTCCAGCTATTCTCAAGAGGCTTGAAGTTCTAGGCTAGCCTAGGAAGAAGTTATCAAAACCCTATTTTAAGCCAGGCTTAACTGTGATCTAAGGATCACAGTTTGAAGCCAGCCCAGGCAGGAAAGTCCTTAGGACTCTTTTCTCAAATTAAGCACCAAAAAAGGTGGAAGTGGAGCTATGGCTCAAGTGCGACAGTACTAGCCTTGACCAAAAAA